ATCTTGCCTAAATCTACCCTCAAGCAGTATCTTTACTTATGTATTCCGGTTATGTCGGTAAAAGGTTGTAAGATATTCCGTCTTAGTCCTGGACGACCTTTGAGAAGTAGCTGCTTACTATCAGATGGAAATTATGCGCCTTACACTTGCATGAGAACCGAAGACTTGTTGAAATATGGGCTTATTTATCACTTTTACTTCTATAAAAAAATGTGTAATGCGTTTCCACTCAACTACTTACTACGATTTTTGTTTTAGTCTTAGTTAACTACAGTTCAGATGGACATACATGTGCCATTATATACAATTAGTTCATAAAGTTTAGTCGTAGCAATATCATTAATGATCTGGGTAAGGGATGTTCTACAGCCAACGATAGTAGCTGAAGTATGCGCCGCACAGTATTGAAAAGTCTGTGCTGACGTTTTCAGTGCTGTGTGCTATATGGTACATGATAAATTAAAAAAAAAAGGTTAACTGCCAACAGATAAGTGTAAGCTTAGGTATTAATATCATTCAAACTCAGACCAACAAAGAAGGAAAAACGGGAAACTGCGTACATTTCAAGTATCGTAAAAACCAAGCCAAAACCATTCCCAATTTATTGTAAGAACACGCACTCGTGTTTGAGTGCACAAAATGGTTTTAGGTGCATGCGTGTAAATGCTCATGTGTAATATGCTCAAGACAATTTTCTTTTGAGGATCAACAATTTTTTATGTGTGGTAGAGCAATGCTGCAGCTATTTATTTATTTATTTACACTTTATTGCACATTAATAAAAGGATTACAAAAAGCGGACTTAATGCCTTTAGGCATTCTCTCCCAGTCAACCCGGGACGTGTGGAAATTAGGTGATAGGTGACAAAATAAAATGAACAATAGAATAAATCAAGGAAAAAAACTACTGATAAACCAAAAAATAAACTAATATTATATATATAAATACAATAAACTTATATAGTATAAAATATAATACAGACAATATATTATATTTACATAGAAATACATAGATACATAAATATATACATATTATAAAGACAAATAGATATATAACATAACCCTATAAATAAAATAACAACAAAGGTAACCAAATTGACCATACTACCAATGTACCAATGTTATTAGATGTTTTTCTGACGTCATCGGGCAAGGAGTTCTAGAGCAGTGCAGCCTGAATGGTGAAGGATTTACTAACAAAATTAGTAAAATGTAGTGGGATACTTAGTTTATTATTATATGAGGACATATTGCCAGAAGAGTCTTTCTAATTTCATCTTGATCAACAGGGTTAAAAAGAAAGACTGGTATGTGCGGAGACGGAATTGAAGCTATGTAAGCGACTGTTTGGGATCGGATTGAAAGGGCCAATGCAGAAGCAGAAGCAAAATGAAGATTTAAAGCATGGTGAGAAAGAGATAAACCACAATCCAAAGAAGGTGTTTTACCCACACCTAGAGAACTAAGGAATTTCCACACATCAGCTGGCGAAAAATTACTTATATTGCTATGGATAAATCGGCGTTTTGCAGAACGTACCATCTGATTGCATCTGTTTCTGGCCTTCTTAAAAGATAACCAGTTTTCCTCAGATCTGCTCCTCTTGAACCTGGCAAAGGCTCGATTTCGCTTGGTCATGGCCTTCCGTACTTCTTCAGTCATTCTGGGAGCTGGTGGACGTCGCAGTTTTATTTTACGTACAGGAGCATGGTTATCATACAAAACATGAATTATGTTATTGAAAATAGTTACTTTATCATCTACAGTGGATGCAGTTGCTAATGGCGTAAAATCTATAAGCGATGCATCTTTCAAAAGCTTATCCATATTAATTCTACTAAAATTACTAAGTTATAAAATGTATATTAAAATACCAAGCTATATTATTAGTATAGTTGTAGCACGAATGTGTCGGCTCGACCGGGGAAGGACCATGCTCTCACAGAATACCAGCGTAAAATAGCAGCTTAATGTTGCTGTGTTTCGTATGGTGAGTATAGAGAACCGGAGACCCTTTTTACTGGAAAAGGGACAATCTTATCTGCATTTTAATTCGCAAACGAAAATAGATGTCTACGGGTCCCAGCAACCACTTACCATCAGACAGATTGTGTGCTCGTTTGTCACCCTTATTACATATTTTGCATATATTGAGTCGATTATCCGCTAAGGGATTATAATTTGGGGTAACAGTGCAGAAATTAATAAAGTTTTTATTGCACAAAAAAAAATGTGTTCGTGCCATTCATGGTGTTGGCCCAGATGTCTCATGCCGACCACTATTTAGGACACTGGGGACACACCCGTGCCTTGTTTGTATATTTTAGAAATTGCTAAGTTTGTAAAACAACACGGGAAAAGTTTCTATAAACTTAATAAAGAAGTGGTATCCATGAACACGAGATACCCAGATCGGATAGTAATTAGCGAAATACCAAGAAGTAAACGCTTTAGCAAAAGTTGTTACTGGATGGGTAAAACAATATATAATAAAATACCAAACATAATTAAAGATCTTTCTATGCAAAAATTTTAAAAAAAGTTATACCAGTGGCTTCTTCAAAATACATTTTACTCGGTAAACAACTTTTTATAAGACTATAGCTCACAATTGACATTTTTTGTTATTAACTGACATGGCATATAATATTGTTAAATTTATTTTTCTTTATTTTTTAATTATATATATATTATAATTTTATTTTAGATTTAGAACGATTTAATATTGATTGATTTTGATGTGTTAATTTTGTATAATTTTATAAATTCGAAGAATAAATAAATTTGCATGTCTCCATCAGGGACATCATATCATATCATATATCTCATGTAACATACATACTAAAAAGCAAATAAATAAATAAATAAATTATTCTATAAAAAAAACAAGAGTAAAAGAAAGAAGCTACGCTTCAATGTACTCCGTCAGAGGAACAGAAGAGAAAATTTGAGTAACGCAGCTGTAGAGATAATAAAGTCATTCACCATTTACCCACTGAATACAATTTGCACTTTCAATCGAAAGGGACAAAGCACATAAGAATCAAGGCTACTTCAAATTTCTACACTATACTATCCAGATAGCATGTTTGGTGTATTTTATTAATACTATGTAGTTATTCCAAATTATACCATTCATGTAGTTAGTTCCACAGTGAATTGTCATTTAAGGTTTAAGTTAGAATTAATTTCTACTTAATTTTTTTAACTACAAGTGCAAACACATCGAAGCCTAAATCGCGCTATTAAAGTTCCAAAGGAAAGCAGTATAATATAAAGCTCCGAACTACCACTCGGAGCGTTGGCCGCTCCCCGGGCAAAACAACTTGCCTTGCCCGGCGGGAGATCTTCTCTTTTCCTTCCACCGGCCAATCTGGTGACGAACCCCCTATCCATTCGCTATCGAGCAGATATTGTCAGCAGTCCTAACATCTTGCAAGCCATATCTAGCCATCTTTACAAAGGTTCATCTCAGCACTGGAATAATGCTTCCTGTTCCTTCAAGCTACTCTCTGCGCTACAGTGTTCGGCACGGCTCTGAGCCTTACTGATCGCCTCTGCTTCAGGGCACTCTCGCAGATTACTTGCCTTCTTCTCGACTCACGAATCTCGATAAGGCAATTCCCTGCTCTAGTACAGAACACTAGGGCACACCACATTCGCCGGCGAACGCGAGGTCACAGACACACCCCGTATACGAGGTTCAACACCCGTGTTACAGGTGGTTTCTAATTTTTGCGACCCGTAAACAAAATTGCGATAGTGATTCAAGCCGAGGTTCGTACCTCCTACTGAGGGGCCCTTGAATCGCATTAGCCCCCTCCCCCTCAGCTTGAGGAACCTCACTTCGAAAGCAGGGGTCGGGGTGCCTCAGGACTGCCGGCGGAATCGTTGCACTCAATAGCTCGTAGGTCCTCGCTTACGAGCCTAATTCGATGAAGCTATCAAGGCCGCAGGGCCAACAGCGTACACTTTCAGAAAAAAAAACACTCTGAGCGCTGGCCGCTCCCCGGGCAGAACACCTTGCCTGACAGAACTACTATAACAAGTCGCATCGATCCAGCGCACTGACTCAGTTTAACAAAAGCCTATTCACTCTCATGATAAGATCATAAGTGACAGCTAAATTACTAAAATATAAAAAAAATATACACTTTATATTTATATCAGTCTTAAACCAAGACAAAAGAATGCAAAATATGTTCGAAATGGTATGTACAAACTATATGAGATTGTTTGTTGGATATACGGAGGGACAAGCTAAGAGGAAACCTAGAGCTTGTGTGTTGAATAAGTTCATGATATGGGCAATGAATGGGACTGCGATGCGACTTTTTGGCTGCATGAAAAGGCTTCCTATTTATATTATCCAAACGCATCATGGCAACACTTCTAGCGAAGCAGAGAAAAATACAAGCTATCCAAATTGTGCAATCCCTTGTGCAATAATTTAAAATTATTATTCAAAGTTCCGTTTACAGCAGATGGTGTCTCATTAGAATAAAATAATAATTCCATATCATTAGAAATTCCTTCGTAAAGTTAACAAGAACTGCCGTAGATCTCTTACGTAAGTTTAACAGTTTATCATCGTGTTTGACGACAAGCCGTCGTGAACTAAACTCGTAAATATAGTCTCTGATGTATTTATGAAGCGAGTTTTAACGCTCGCCTTAACAGCTCTGTGTCTGTTTTCATTAATACAGATGGACTATTACAACACCTGTATCCAATATTTCTTGAATATCAAAGCTGTGGTTTCACGTCCACATTTTGATTAATAATAACATAATCTACTGAAACGTAGAAGTTCATATTTTCGAGGATTTAATTAAGCTGAAAATTAAAGAGAAAAAAGTCTGACCAGTTGGGATTCACAGAAACAAATAATTTTCAAAAAACAAATTTTTTATTCTTCATTGTTGATGTAATTACAGACAGCTTTTTAACAATTTTTGATTTAAATTAAGTCATTTTTATAATGATTTATAGCGTCGTTTTTATAGTAAATCCCTCAGGCGTACATTCCGTCGCACCGCGTTGTTGAATCCTTCTCTGTATTGGTAGAAAACTCCGCTCGATGATATGACGTCGGGTATCGCTTCTGTGAACAATTAACAATATAATATAAATAAAGGTACAATTTACTTTGTAGAAGTATGCGGCACAGGAGTTATGATATCTAAAGGGCATGCTCCTACATCAATAACCCTAAATTTGAAAGACAAAGAAGAAGAAACTTTATTCTGCCATAGACCACTGACGCACACAAAAATATAAGAATAACAATAATAATTTCTTTATACAGGAAAAATTTTCAACAAAACATTTGCATCTGCACCTGAACTAAGCATTGAGATTGTATCTCAGGCAACAGTGCTCTTTCTTATGGGACAATTTTACAAAAATATTTCTGATTTAGAAACTTACGTAAACATATCAACAATATTATTTTAAAGTATGAAATTAAACCTAAATATTTGTTCGTTTTTTCAGTGTGGAGTGTCAATTGTTCCTCTTGTATGTGTGTGATAAATCTACGTCTTTTTTACGTTATACAAAGAACCATGCCCACTTTTCATACATTTAAAAATCTGATAGTAAAAGTTTTGTATGGTAGAAAAACTTCCTGTAAGTTTAGAAAATAATGTCATGTCTTGTATACCCTAGATTGTGTTTCTATTCTATATGATCCATGAAAAACACACAAAATGACACAATACACAACGAGACGCAAACGCAACAAGTCTTTGGCAACAACGAACGACAACGAAGGACTACCCCGATGCCAATCGTATAACTGTCAAATGTCAAAAAATCCGTTTGATTCGTGCGCACTCAGTGACATACTGCATGATTAATTTATTTAATTATAATGTTATTTTTAATTAATCTGTACTATATAAATAAATTATACAAAGAGTAATAAATACCTACTGATTAAATAACCGTGTAGTGGCGGTCAAGAATACCACTACCCCATATCCTCCCGTGGGTGTCGTAAAAGGCGACAAAGGGAAACAGGCAGGAGATGGGCAGCAGCATCTTCCTGATAATAGCCAGACAATAAAAAAAACTGCGGTTGCCAACCCGCTCGCCAAGCGTGGCAACTATGGCAAATACCCCCCCTATGAATGTAATAAAGAGACGGCCCCCAGTCCCCGGCGGCCCCGCTATTCCTGGCTACGGTGGCGACCATGGTAACGGCGGGGCAGGGGGTGCTAAGAATCTCCGGTGGAGGTTCGGTTGCCACCTTAGACGACTCGACCTGGCAACGTACAACGCACGCACCCTGAGGACTGACGAGAAGATCGTGGAGCTGGAAGAAGAGATAGACAAGTTGCGCTGGCATATTATAGGATTATCCGAAGTCCGAAGAGAGGGGGAGGACACGGTAATCCTCGAATCCGGCAACTTGCTCTATCACCGGGAGGGCGACCATCTGTCCCAAGGAGGTGTCGGATTTATCGTCCACAAGTCTCTCGTTAACAACGTTGTAAAGATCGGGAGTGTGTCGACGAGGGTTGCGTACCTTATACTCAGAATCACCAAACGGTATTCGCTGAAGGTCATACAGGTTTACGCACCAACCTCGGCACACCCCGATGGGGAGGTGGAGGAAATGTATGAGGATATCTCTAGAGCCATGCATTCCTCCAAAACCCAATATACGGTGTTCATGGGAGACTTCAATGCAAAACTAGGCACAAGAGAGAACGGTGAGCTGAAAGTAGGGAAATTTGGAATAGGGCAACGGAACCCAAGGGGCCAGCAGCTGGCCGACTTCATGGAGAAAGAGGGACTCTTTATGATGAACTCTTTCTTCCAGAAGCGGCCCCACAGGAAGTGGACCTGGTCGAGCCCCGACGGTTCGACAAAAAATGAGATTGACTTCATTATGACGACCAGACGACAACTGTTCAGTGATGTCTCCGTGATCGCGAGGGTGAAAACTGGTAGCGATCACCGAATGGTTAGAGGCACACTGAACCTAAACGTTAAGTTGGAGAGGTATCGTCTAATGAAGTCAACGCTCCGTCCCCCTCGTGCTCTGTTCCAAAGTCCCGAGACCTTTCAGCTCGAGTTACAAAACCGTTTTCAGTGCCTAGAAGACTGCAATGAAGTGGACGATATGAATGACAAGCTCGTGGAAACTGTCCATGCGGTCGGAGCTAAGTTCTGCAAGACCCGCCGCAGAAGAACACAAAAACTCTCCGATCACACTCTTAATCTCATGGCTGTTAGACGGGAGATGAAGCTACATTCTTCAACAGACTTGACAGCATACAGGCATCTGAACAGACAGATCTCCAAATGCATGCGGCGGGACTTACGCAACTTCAATACAGCTCGTATTGAAGAAGCGATCGAGCGGAACCAAGGCTCCAAAGTCTTTGCCAGAGATCTGTCTGCCAGAAAGAGCCAACTGTCAAAGCTGAAGACAGAATGTGGCAGCATCGTTTCCGGGACACCTGAGATTTTGAGTGAGATTGAGAGGTTCTATGGGCAGCTGTACACGTCATCGTTGGAGCCACACACAAGTGTGAGTAACGATCCAAGAGCGAGTCTCATCCGACACTATTCCGAAGATATCCCGGACGTCAGTCTGAGCGAGATTAGAATGGCTCTCCAGCACCTTAAAAACGGTAAGGCCCCAGGCGAGGATGGAATTACAGCGGAGCTTCTGAAAGCGGGTGGAAGACCGGTACTTGAAGTCCTTCAGAAGCTCTTTAATTCCGTCCTCCATGGTGGCATTACACCGGAGGCGTGGAGCAGAAGTGCGGTGGTCTTGTTCTTCAAGAAAGGTGACAACGCTCTCTTGAAGAACTACAGACCGATTTCCCTTCTGAGCCGCGTCTACGTGTTGTTTTCGAGAGTCATTACGAATCGTCTCGCGCGCAGACTTGACGACTTCCAGCCTCCCGAACAAGCCGGTTTCCGAAAGGGCTTTAGCACCATAGACCACATACATACCCTTCGGCAAATTGTACAGAAGTCCGAAGAGTACAATTTGCCACTATGTCTGGCGTATGTGGACTATGAGAAAGCCTTTGATTCCGTCGAAATTTGGGCGGTGCTGCAGTCCCTTCAGCGGTGCCAAGTTGACTGTCGGTATATCGAAGTGTTGAAGTGCTTGTACAGTAGGGCTACGATGGCTATCCGAGTACAGAACCAGAGTACGAAACCTATCCAATTGCAGAGAGGTGTAAGACAGGGTGACGTCATATCCCCGAAACTCTTCACCGCTGCATTGGAAGACGTTTTCAAGCTTCTGGACTGGAAAGGATACGGTATCAACATCAATGGCGAGTACATCACTCACCTTCGATTTGCCGACGATATAGTCCTTATGGCAGAATCGCTGGAGGACCTAAGCACTATGCTCAATGACCTCGATAGTGTTTCCCAACGGATAGGTCTTAAGATGAACATGGACAAAACAAAGATCATGTTCAATGTCCATGTCACAACTATGCCGGTAGTTGTTGGGAACACTAAGCTCGAAGTTGTTGACGAGTATGTTTACCTGGGACAAATAGTCCGACTAGGTAAGTCCAACTTCGACCGAGAGGTCAATCGACGGATTCAACTCGGCTGGGCAGCGTTCGGGAAGCTACGACACATCTTCTCGTCAGACATACCTCAAAACCTGAAAACGAAATTGTACAACCAGTGCGTGTTGCCAGTGATGACTTATGGAACTGAGACGTGGTCCTTCACTGCTGGCCGTATGAGGAAGCTCAAGGTCGCTCAGCGAGCTATGGAGAGGGCTATGCTCGGAGTTTCTCTGCGTGATAAACTTAGGAATGAGGATATCCGCAGTAGAACCAGAGTAACCGACATAGCCCAACGGATTAGTAAGCTGAAGTGGCAGTGGGCCGGCCATATAGCTCGAAGAACCGACAACCGATGGGGAAGAAAGGTTCTCGAGTGGCAGCCTCGTACCGGTAGGCGAAGTGTAGGGCGTCCCCCCACGAGATGGAGTGACGACCTGGTAAGACATGCAGGAAGTCGATGGATGCAGGTGGCTCAGGACCGTGCTTTGTGGCATTCTTTGGGGGAGGCCTATGTTCAGCAGTGGACTTGTGAAGGGCTGTAATGATGATGATGATGATGATTAAATAAAACATATAATAACGTTTACAACTCAGAAACAGAGTTCAATTAAGTCAAGTAGCAGTGGGAAAAATGGAACATTCTAGAAAAAGGGTAGTTGAGATGCGTTCAAAATATGGTGGTAATACGTTTACCCTTCATGTAGAATAAGCTTAAATAAATATTAAAAAATATTTTTCTCCTGCGTTTCTTTTAACATTATGATAAGCGTATTTAATTAACAATTCAATTAGCTGAATTTTAAGAGTTATTTAATTTCTATACATATTCATGTGAAAAATGAGCATCTTTCTTTATAACTTAAAACAGACGTAGATTTAATAAATTTGACTTTGTATATCAAAGGCATGCCACAAAAAGACATCTCTCAACATGTGTTGTGGTGAAACCACAACGCTAATTTGCAGTGCTGAACGAAAGGACTACTTTGCCAAAAATGTTGAAGAGATCTCTCATGGATAAGTTTGGTAAGCCACGAACGTGAGCGTACAATAAATGCTATTTAAATCATTTACTCAAAAAGTGTAAAGTGCAACAACCGTAAATTAAATTATGATGGAGATTTGGATGAACGATTTTTTCGAACAAACACTTAGGGCGGCTTTGAATCTAAGACTAGTACTGGGCAGCCAAAATGAATTTATGTGTCTTTACAAAGGTGCGGTCACGTTTATCATGCGCGAAACAAGCACTAGCCTATACATATAGGTGGACTTAAGCTGGTTAGAAACAAAATACAAAACTATGCATTGCCAGCGATGTTTAATTTGTACAAATATATCAATTGCAATCTATTTTATGTACCATTTTTTTTATACAATAAGGGTGAGAAACGAACACACAGGCTACCAGATGGTAAATGGATACTGTGGCCCATAGACATCTACATTTATCCTCAATTAAGAACCAAAATGCAGATACGCTGTCACTCTTAAGGGCTAGGGCGGAATGTTTCCAGTAAAAAGGATCCCGGTTCTCTACACTCAT